GGGGAGGGAGATGATAGAGGGGGAGGAGGGGGAGGATGGAGGGGGAGAGAAGGGATGGGGGGAGGGGGAGAAGGGAGGGGGCGGGGGAGGGGGCCTATGGCACGGCCCAGCACTTGCCCAGTGGCTCAAGCTAAAGGAGGTCTAGGAAAGGGGCTGGGGGGAGATGTTGGAGTCTTTTGTTCTTCCTCTCCCTCTCTCCCACTTCCCCCCAAGCTGGAAGAGGTCAAGTCGTCGGAGCGGAGCCTTCGGGCCCGGCTGAAGTATCTGTCCAGCGAGCTGGCCCAGTACAAGCAGGGGTGAGCAGGCTGTCCTGGGGAGATCGGGGAAGGGCTCGGTAGAGGTAGGTGGCGAGACCTAGCAGGGTTGGGGCCTGTCTCCCCAGGAGGCAGACCCTGTCTTTGGTACAGTCACCGCAGCCCCGGAAGGACCGGCGGCGGACAGCATCTCAGGAGCGGAACCCGTCGTGGGGCCGAAGGCCCGCCCGATCTTCGTCTCAGGACAGCAACCGAGGAGGGGCGCCATCGCGGCCCTCCTCCTCCCCAGCAGGTACGTGGCCCACCTTCCCCTGCCTCCCTCTGCCCCGCCCGCCCCCTTCTCAGCGGTGGATCTCGGGCTCGGCCGATCCCTTGGATGAGCGAGGAGGCCCTTCGCCACCTCTTCTCTTGGTCCCCAGGTGTCCGGGCGCCCCGCTTCGACCCCACTGCCTTCGTCAAGGCCAAAGAGCGGAAGCAGAGAGAGCTCAAGATGAAGAAGTGAGTGATCCTGCCTCCCCAGGTGGACCGGGCGGGGCCGGGGGGGGGGGCCTCCAGACTCCTCTGCTCCCCAGGGCTTAGCGGATGAAGGACCAGCTCCGCTGGGGTGGTGCAGTGGCCACGCTGCTGGCCTCACAGTGACCCTGTCACTTCGCCTGCCTGCCTCAGTGTCCTCATATGTCCAGTGGGGACCATCCCAGGGGGGTTGTGAGGATTTCTGCCAAGGGCCAGAGCCGCGCTCCCCATCATCATTTCGGGCAGTGTGTTGCGTTGCCCCTGCCTTGTGTGGGATGCCCGCTGGCCTCGGCCCCTCCTGGAGTGTTCAGATGCTGCCTTTCCCCAGTTTGTCTCATCTGGCCCGTGGCTGTGTCCCCCAGTCCGATGGAGGCTCCTTCGTTGTGTCTTGGGATCCCCGGTGCCTTGCATACAGGAGGCACTTAATAAATACTGGATTGGGTTAGAGTGAGTTTTCCTCCTCTTCCCTCAGCCAGCAAAGGAACCGGATCGGGAGTGGGGAAGGGTCGGGGAGCTGGGGTCGAAGCCGGGTCCGCGGCTCGTGCGCCGTCTCAAGAGAGGAAAGGGCCCCCAGAGGCCGGACGCGAAGCTCCTCTGGTAAGGGACGTGAGATGTTTCCCCAGGGAGGAGGGAAGGGCGTCGTGTCTGACTTCTTAGTCCTGGCACAGGTCCCTGGGTGCTGCGGAGCCCATGAGGCCTGGTGCTGGGTGCGAGGGGGAGGGAGGCCTGGCTCCAGTGAAGGGGGGGGAGTGGGATGAGGGAGGCCAGGAGCTATCCAGGATGTGGGAGGTTGGAGGTTGGGTCCTGGAGGGCCAGGCCGTCGTTCAGCCTTTAGTCAGGGGCCTGGCCTTTCCTTTTCTCCTTCCCTACCCCAGTAGAGAGTTTTCGAAGCCGCCACTCATCGCTGAGCTCAGCCAGTGAGTTTGAGGATTTCACCAACCCAACTTCGCGAGGGTAAGGTGGTGGGGGTGGGAGGGAGAGGCGTGGGGGGTTTACTCCAGGAGAAATTGCCTGGGAGCCTGGGAAACCACTGAGACCCAGGCATTGGGTGGTAGGAACCTTCATGCCCCGCCCCCAACTTGCTTCTCTGGTTGCTTTTCTCAGCTGTCGGAGGCAGCCCAGAGTTCGGAAGCCCCTGAGCCCCTCCTCCTGGAATGGCTCAGGAGAGGTGAGTATCGGGGGCTTCCCCCCCTGCGCCCCATGACCCTGGTGCAGCTGGTCCGGGCAGGGTGTGGGCAGAATAGGGGAGCCGGGGAGGGAATCCTCAGGAACGACCATTGGGCTCAGAGACCTCCCTTGGGTGTCTGGTTTGTGGGTGAGGGGGGACAGGATTGGGGGCACCTTGGATGATCTGAAAAGGGCTTGGGGGGCTTTGAGAGTAGAGTGAGCGATGGAGCTTTTGGGGGATTGTTGGCTGGCATGAGTACTTGGAGATCCCTCCTGACTGCCTGCCCTGCCCCTTCAGATGCCTGTGCTGGACAGTGGCCGCAGAAGACGGCAGGCTAGCAGCACCCCTACCCCGAGGGGCCAGACCTTTGGCAAAGGTGAACTTCCTTCCTGAGAGCCAGCCGTGCTTCCTTGGTGGAGTGGGGGGATTCACCCCCTGCCTCCAAGAGCTCCTAAAACCCTTGGGTTCACCCCGGGTCCTCCCAGGAGCCCTTTCTGCCCATCCCCAGGCTGGTTCCCAGAGCCAGCCACTTTCCTCTTCCTCCTTACAGAAAACACATTTGAGGAGCCGCCCGCCGACCTGTCAGAGATTGATGCCCGCCTGCAGGCCCTGCAGGAGTATATGAACAGGCTGGACACAAGGACGTGACACTCCCCCCCAACACCAGCCAAAGGGGCTTGGGCCTGGCTTCCCTTCTTCTCCTTAGCCCCCCAGTGGGAGGCCAGAACTGAGGCTCAGCCCTGGCTGCCAGGGAACCTGAGGGCTGAGGAGGCATGCGTGTATGTGTGTGTGTGTGTGTGCGTGTGCACGTGTGTTCGTGTGTGGGGAAGGACAGAGGATGTAAATAAAGGGTTTGGGCAGTTTTCCCTCCCTCAGTCCACCTGTCATCTGAGTTGGTGTGCTCTGATCTTTGTGCTCTGACTTTCTGCATCTGGGCTTTGGGCTGGGGCAGCAGGGCCCACGGAGGAGATCACTAGGCCCTCCAACCTAGCCTCTCGTCATTGCCTCTGTGACTAGGGCTGGGTCCCCTGAGTTAGTGAGCTCAGTTTCCTCCCATGTAAAATGGGGTGGCTGATCCCTGGGGTCCCTCCCTCATGCATTGACCATCGGAGAGAATGTGCAGATGGCTCTTCCCACCAGATAGCAGCACTTCCTGTCATTTAGAGGGCTGGGGACTGAAGGAACCTGAGACACGAGCCACTTGACCCCCTCACTGGATGAGGCAGGAAACCAAGGCCCAAGGAGATGAGGAGTGGGCCTGTGGAGCAGGCCCCTCCAATGCTGGCCGGCATCAATGCATAGAACCCCCAAGTGGCCAGGGTCTCGGTAGCTTTATTCTGGGATACCGGGGAGGGGCAGCCGGCCAGCCATGGACACTGGAGGCAGGGGAAGGTGTTTGGCTGCGATGTCCCAGGATCCAGTGGGCCTCTCACCCTCGATAATGGGGCAGCTTCCGCAGTTCACCGTAGAGCGCGTCCGCCGGGGGAGCCCCTATCTGCACGTTCTGCTGTGGCCGGATCATATATTGAGATGAGAGTACACCATGCACCGTGCCACAGCGAAGGAGGCTCTGGATGGCCCGGATGGCTCGGGGAGCAGGGGGTCGATCTGGGGGAGGGAGACAGCCTGGTTTGCCAACATTCTGTCCTTGGCCTTTCTTCCCCCTCCATATAGCCACACCCCAGGGACCCAAGTTTCCTGGTTCTGATCCTCAGCCCAATATAGGCCCAGGGACTTGGGTGTCCTAAGTCTTAGCACCACAGGACCCAAGTGTCCTTGCCTCTAGCTTTGCTGTACTCTCCAGTCCCAGTCCCATACCTTCCCAAGGACCCTCCCTCTCTCCTGTTGTTACTTACTCCTGAAGTTGCCGATGAAGCTGATCCCCAGGGAGATGGAGTTCCAGGCGGGGTCTGAGTGGTCTCCTGTGGTGGACCACCCTCGCCCCTCGTAGATGAGCCCATCTTCCCCAATCAAGAAGCTGGAGGCAGAGAGGATGGATTGGCCTATCAGTGAGGGCTTCTTTGCCCTTTCTCCCCCAGCCCCAGTGTTTTGGGCTTCTTGGCACTCAAAATCCTATCTCATGAGAGCTTTCACCCCCCTTTGGAGCAAAAGTCTGCTTAGAACTGGGATATCTTCCCCCTGAGACCAGGAATTCCCTAACCATTGTGTTCCCCCTCAAATGAAGGGCCCCCCATCACTGTTGTATTCTCACCTCAGACCAAGGGCCCCCCCATAGCTAGGAGGTTACTTTCAGATCAGGGGCTCCCTGACCTCTGTGCTGTTTTAGGCCAGGGTGTCCTCCACACCTAGGATAAGTTTCTCCCTTCGGATGAGGGGTTCCTTTCACTGCTGGGCTGTGTTTCTACCCCAGGGCTCTCACATCTGAGATGTTTCAGATCAGCCCCCACTGCACCAACATACTGTGTTTCCCCACTGGCCCCAGGCTCCCCCACAGCTGGGCTGTTTCTTCCCTCAGATCAAGGATTTCCCCAACACTGTTCTCTCCCCTCCCTTAGAGCAGGGCCACCCCTCCCATTCAGACTAAGGTCTCCCCCACAGCTGGGATGTTCTAACACAGCCCAGGTCTGTGCCTCTCCCGCACCCCAACCCTAGACCGGGGGTTGTTTGGGTCTCTGCCTTCCACCCCGTTGTTGTCCGAGGATGCTCACTTGTATGAGATGTCACAAAGACGCTGTATGTGGACATCGTTGACTTGGATGTTTCTTATCTGCTGTTCACAGTCTGAGGGGGAAAGGCAGGGGTTGCCACCTGTGTGAGACACCACCACGAAGTCCACCGGCAGGTTCAGGGGCTTCAGGCACCGAGAGGGCAGGGCCCCCCATTCAGCCCTTGACACAATGTCTGGGCAGCCAGGCAGTATGTTCTCGGGCTTCAGGTCATCCTGTCCCAAGACAGGGAGGGTGGCCAAGAGCAGAAGCAGCCAGGGTACCATGTCTGCTTTGGGATCTCAGGCCAAGGGAATCGGAGAGCAGAGGGCCGGTGATCTTGGGATACCAAGGAGAGCTCTCCAGTGCCTAAAGCTGGGGCTGGCTATTTATCACCTGCATTTGGGGAGTGGGGGAGGACAGGATACAGGGCAGTGACCTTCCCCTTCCCTTGGCCACGGAAGGCCTTGCATCAAAACTCAGGTGCCTTGCCCCACATGTGTTGGAAACTAAAACCACAGGTTCCTGTTTTCTTTGGAACCTGGTGGGGGCAGGGAAGGGGAGAGTTGGGTGGTCTTGATGCTGATGGTTGAGGAGGGGGAGAATTTTTCTGGCCTCCTCCTTTCCAAGGCCGCTGGACACCTTTGGGCTCAATGGCAGCCGGAGGTCCTTCTTCCCTTCCATGTCCGCCCTCCTTCTGGGCATCGAGAGCCGACTTCTGGCGCTGGCCATCCCACCACCGCCCTGGGGGACCTTGGGTAAGTTCCTTCCCCTCTCCTGGTTTTAGTTTCATCATTCCACAATAAGAAGCTATGATTCTGTGGTTTTAATCTCTTGAAATGCTGCTTCTCTAGGCCTGATGAGGATCCAGCCATTCAGTGGTCCAGGAGGATGTTTGTGTTTCTTTATCTCAGTGGGAATACACATCATTGATTCAAACCAACAAACATTTGGAAGGAGCTCCCACAATGAGCCAGGATTACAAAGTCAAAGGACAAAGCTGACCTGGGCTAGCTGACCTGGCCTACATTCTACTGGGGTGTGGGTGGGGGAGCCTTGAACATACAAGAAAGAATAAGGTCTACACAAAATCATGGAAACGAATGGCAAAGGGGAGAGAGTGTTACTGGGGAGGGGGATGGATAATGAAAGGCATTCTGTAGGAGAAACTACCTGGGGTGTGCTTTGAAGGAGGTGCAAGGAGCATCTATTATGCTCCTACTCTGTGCCAGGCACTGGAGATAGAGGAGCAAGTGACAGTCCCTGCCCTCAGGGAGCTTATATTCTAACGTACATAGAACAATCAGACTCAAAATATATATAAAGTAATTTTTAGGAGGAAGGCACTAGCCCTGGGGGGCTCTGGATAGGTTTTCTTTATTTTTAAAAATTAATTAATTTATTTTTAGTTTTCAACATTCACTTCTATAAGATTTTGAGTTTTAAATTTTCTTCCCCTCCTTCTCCTCCCCCCTTCCCAAGATAGCCTGCAATCTGATATAGGCTCTACTTATACATTCATATTAAGCATATTTTCAAATTGGTCATGATGTAAAGAAGAATTAGAACTAATAGGGGGAACCACGAGAAGGAAGAAACAAAACAAAACAACAAAAGAAAAGGAGAGCAAATAGTATGCTTCCATCTGCATTCAGACTCCATAGTTCTTTCTCTGGATGTGGATAGCATTTTCCATCATAAGTCTTTTGGAGATGTCTTAGATCCTTGCATTGCTGAAAAGGGCTAAGTCTACCAAAGTCAGTCATCACACACTGTGGCTGTTACTGTGTACAATGTTCTCCTGGTTCTGCTCACTTCACTCAGCATCAGTTCATATAAGTCTTTCTAGGTTTTTCTGAAGTCTGCCTGTTCATCATTTCTTATAGCACAATAGTATTCCATTACATTCGTATACCACAACTTGTTCAGCTATTCCCCAGTTGATGGGCATCCCCTCAATTTCCAATTCTTGGCCACCACAAAAAGAGCTGCTATAAATATTTTTGTACATGTGGGTCCTTTTCCCATTTGTATGATCTCTTTGGGATATAGACCTAGAAGTGCTATTACTGGGTCAAAGGGTTATGCACATTTTTATAGCCCTTTAGGCATAGTTCCAAATTGCTCTCCAGAATAGTTGGATCAGTTCAAACTCCACCAACAGTGCACTAGTGTCCCAGTTTTCCCATGTCTTCTCCAATATTTATCATTTTCCTGTTTTGTCATGTTGGTCAATCTGGTAGGTGTGATGTGGTACCTCAGAGTTGTTTTGATTTGCATTTCTCTAATCAATAGTGATTTAGAGTATTTTTCATATGACTATAGACAGCTTTAATTTCTTCCTCTGAAAACTGCCTGTTCATATCCTTTGACCATTTATCAATTGGGGAATGACTTGTATTCTTATCAATTTAACTCAATTCTCTATGCATTTTAGAAAAGAGGCCCTTATCAGAGACACTGGCTGTAAAAATTGTTTCCCAGATTTCTGCTTCCCTTCTAATCTTAGTTGCATTAATTTTGTGCAAAAACTTTTCAATTTAAAATGTAATCAAAGTTATCCTTTTTGCATTTCATAACGTTCTCTATCTTTTGTTTGGTCATAAATTCTTCCCTTCTCCATACTGACAGGTAAGCTATGCCTTGCTCTCCTAGTTTGCTTATAGTATCAATCTTTATATTTAAATCATGTACCCATGGTATAGAGTATAAGATGTTGGTCTATGCCCAGTTTCTGCCATCCTATTATCCAGTTTTCCCAGCAGTTTTTTCTAAGTAGTGAGTTCTTATCCCAGAAGCTGGAGTCTTTGGGTTTATCAAACAGTAGATTACTATAGTCATTGACTGTTGTGTTTTGCGTACCTAACCTATTCCACTGATCCACCACTCTATTTCTTAGCCAGTACCAAGTAATTTTGATGATTGCTGCTTTATAATGAAATTTAAGATCTGTACAGCTACATAGGTTTTCTTTAGAAGCTGGCACATGAGCTGAGCATCACTGGAAGCTAGAAATTATGCAAGGCAGAGGTGAGAAGGGATTGCACTTTAGTCATGGGACACTGCCCATACAAAGGCTCAGAGGTGGAAATGGGGATGTCCTGCGCAGGGATGGACAAGCAAGGTAGAGAATTTAACTTACCCTTCTAAGCATTATACCTCCACTCTGCTGTAGTCTTCCAACATCAGGTGGAGAACCTGGGGTCTTCAAGGCTATGCCAGCACAGCGCAGGCTTTCAAAGGTTCTATTTGACTGGAAAGATTTTGGGTCTAGATTGGGGTGGTGGGGGATGTAGATCATCAGAAGATGGGCCAAGTTCAGGGAGCTTCATCAGCATATGCTTGGCCATAGGGTGATGGATTTCTTTGGTCCCCACAGCCTGGCTTCTTAAGGCAGCTCGGTGTCTGGAAAGAGCACTGGGTCTGTATGAACTGATGCAGAGTTAAATGAACAGAACCAGGAGAGCATTGTATGCAGTAACAGCTACATTGTGCGATGAGTGACTTGGATAGATCGAGCTCTTCTCAGCAGTACAAGAATCTAGGACATCTCCAAAAGACTCGTGATGGAAAATGCTGTCCACATCCAGAGAAAGAACCATGGAGTTTGAATGCAGATGGAAGTGGACGATTTGCTCTCCTTTTCTTTTGTTGTTTTGTTTTGTTTCTTCTTTCTCATGGTTCCTCCCATTAGCTCTAATTCTTCTTCACATCATGACTAATGTGAAAATATGCTTAATATGAATGTATAAGTAGAGCCTATATCAGATTGCAGGCTATCTTAGGGAGGGGGGAAGAGAGGAAGGGGGAGAAAATTTGAAACTCAAAATCTTATGGAAGCGAATGATGAAAACTAAAAATAAATTAATTATCTAGAAAAAGAGCATTGGTTCTGGGTTCAAATCTCAGCTCTAGAAAATCCCTCTGCAGAGGTCCAGTCAATGTTCAAATCCAAAAATGAATGAACAGGACCCAGGAGATTGAGGGACAAGGGGCAGAAGTTGGAAAGAGGCAGATGTAGGTTTAATTTAAGGAAAAATTTGGACAAACAGAACTGTTCAAGTGTGGAATAGGCTGTCTTGGGAAATGATGGCTTCTTCTCATCTAACAAACAAAGGCTGACCACTTGCAGAAGAGATTTTTGTTCAGGTAAATTTGGGTTCTCTGCATTTGGGTTTGAACATTGCCTGGACCTCTGTAGAGGGAGTTCTTAGGAAGAAAAAAATGATAACCAACGTTTAAATGGTGTTTCAAGACTTGCAAAACACTTTACAAATATTAACTCATTTCATCCTCCCATCAACTGGGAGGTTGGTGCTATTTTTAGCCTCCTTGGACTTGCCTGCTCCAGGTCACATAGCTAGTAAGTGTTTGACTTATTCTCGTCTTCCTGGCTCAAGATCCAGCTATCAATGCATATGGCACCTCTTCCACGATGTATCATCTTAGAAGGTTTCCTGGGCCACCGAGAGGCTAAAATCTTTGTAACTTCGTGGCTAGCTCTCCATTCGGTATACCACACCTCCTCTTTTTTTTGTCCATCTATTCTCATAAATTCTCCAAGAGAAGCCCACTTGATGTGATGGATGGGTTTCCTCTAGTCCTTTTAACATCATGGTGGCATGTGGACTGTCCAGCTGTCCTCCTTTACCATCATTATGGGATGAAAGTTTTCTGGTCCTATACCCTCTGGGTGAAGTGTCGGTACTATTTCTCCTAAGTCACGAGCAACGCCGCGGCTATTTTCCTTCTCTTGAGGTTTTCAGGACATCACTCTCTCCTGGTTCTTCTGCCTCTCTGACTGCTCCTTCTCTGTCTCCTTTGCTGGATCCTTCTCAGGATCATGCACCCTGACCGCAGATGTCCCTCAGGGTGTTGTCCTGGGCCCTCTTCTCCTCTCCCTCTATACCTCTTCACTTGTGATCTCATCTGCTCCCATGGATTCAATGACCATCTCTATGCTGATGACTCTCAGCCCTACTTATCTAGCCTGACCTCTTTCCCAGTCTCCAAATTGCCCATTATATATACCTCTCGAACTCACCATGGCCAAAACTGGACTCGTTATCCTTCTCCCCCCAAATCTTCCCCCGTCCTAACTTCCCCTTTACTGTTGAGGGCACCGCTAGCTTCCCAGACCCTCAGGCTCATGACCTAGGAGTCACCCTGGACTCCACCCCGGATCCTGTCATGTCCAAGTTGTTGCCAAGCCTTGGTGACTTCACCTTTGTACCACCTCCCTAATATGTCCCTTCTCTACTCTGCCACCATGCTAGTGCAGACCCTTATTACCTCAGCCCTGGATTATCACCATAGCTGCTGGTGGCTCTGACTGCCTCGGATCAACAACTCCCCAAT